TGATTTATATAGTTCATCTCAAGGTTACAGATCCTTACACTTTAATTCTAACCATTTGAAATGTGTTGTGATGCGTTTATCAGGGTCAGCCAAACATAAATTTAGCCTCCTCAACTAGCAAGGGTGATACAATTGTAACACTTGGCTCTCCTTTTGGAATACTTTCACCTGTACACTTTTTTAACAGGTGAATATGGATAGACTAGTGTTCCTACTTTTTAATCCATTAGATATCATCGTGATTTCCATTCTCTCAATAGAGTCAGCATTTAACTTGGGAATCTAAACTTGTTTGAAACAGTGTATCAACTGGTTCCATTGCAAACTGCTATCCTTCTGGATCGCTAAACAAGTCACTGATGATAGCTGATGTTCGTTGTCTCCCTGGTGTGTACAATTCTCAGTAGTTTTCAAGTATTGTTTATTTGTTTCTCCCTAAGTAGCTAAAAAGCGTGTTCCGTTTCGGTTCAATTTCTTCCAGGAATGGAAGGGGCTCCAGTGTTTGATAAGGATGGGCACTTAGTTGGCATTTTGATTAGACCAATAAGGCAAAAGAACAGTGGTGTTGAAATTCAGGTTTGTCAACGTCTACGTTATTTCATTTAAGGTCATTGAAGTTTTATTGTAATGTTGAATGCAAAACTGTAGCCTTCGGTAGCAGCTGGTGGTTCCGTGGGGAGCAATCGCAACTGCTTGCAGCCACTTGCTGTTTGAGGAACCATCTATTGAAGGAAAATCAAGTCATTTGGGGAGTGAAGTATTGAGTATCAAGCCAGATGCTAGTATTCATGTACAAGTGGCTGTTGAGAAAGCGATGGAATCAATTTGCCTTATCACGGTCAATGATGGTGTTTGGGCATCCGGTGTTCTTCTTAATAAACATGGTCTCATACTAACAAATGCTCACCTACTTGAGCCGTGGAGGTTTGGGAAAGGCGGTGTATATGGTGGAAGTAAAGATAAGGGTTTAAAACCTTATGTAGTAGGAGCCGAGGAATTCTCTTCCGCTAGAAGTAGATATTGTGAACAGGAGGGGAAAGAAACATTGCCTAGAAAAACTCCAGCAGGTCTTTATTCTTCTGTTGGAAAAAACATCAAGAAATACAAACACAATTTCCTTCAGACTGGACATACAGATATACGTGTACGATTGTGTCACCAAGATTCTTGGACTTGGTGTGCTGCTAAAGTTGTCTATATTTGTAAGGAACAATTGGATGTTGCCTTACTGCAGCTAGAATATGTTCCCGGCAAGCTCCAACCTATTGCTGCCAATTTTTCTTCACCTCCTTTGGGTACGTCGGCACATGTTGTTGGACATGGACTCTTCGGACCAAGATGCGGTAATTATTTCATTAATCCCAAATCTATTTTGTTGAATTGATTTGTGATAAGTTCTAGTGTATGTTTTGCTCCCATCATCTTGCATGGATTTTATTTTTTGCACACTGAATCTACATTCTCATGTGCGGTATGTGTGCCAAGTGTTTGGAAGAAAGAAAATATCCTACTGTATTTGTCAATTTTCTTTTCTAACACTTTTGTTTTGTTATTAGGGCTTTCTCCCTCTATTTGTTCCGGAGTTGTAGCCAAGGTAGTTCATGCAAAAAAGAAATTGTTTACGGAATCCATTTTGCAAGATGCCACAGAGTTCCCTGCGATGCTCGAAACAACAGCTTCTGTGCATCCTGGTGGAAGTGGTGGTGCTGTTGTCAATTCAAGTGGCCATATGATTGGACTTGTTACTAGGTATAAGATAACCATTCTCAAATACAATTTGTAGGTCTCCTAGATCCAAAATATGAGATATGTCATTAGAAACAGACAGCTAATACAGCATTGAAGTCAGGAATGATATTTTTGATTGTTCAGTGCTCTGCCTGTAGCATAAGTTTTATGGTAGATACTAGATACTATGTGCTTGTCTATATAGTAGTCTTCTCTTGTGTCAAAGATTAAACGTCTATCTTCTTTGTATCCGCAGCAACGCGAGACATGGAGCTGGGACAGTTATCCCGCATCTCAATTTCAGCATTCCATGTGCAGTCTTGGCACCAATCTTCAAGTTTGCAGAAGGTTTGTCTAATCTTGTTAGTTTGTATCGTTTATGGGAGCAGAATAGAGAGTAGATTGTTTAAAAAGTGTTTGCTTTCATTGTTTCCGTCTTAAAACAGATATGCAAAACATAGATATCCTTCAAATACTTGATCAACCAAACGAAGAACTCTCATCCATATGGGCTTTGATGCCATCACTGTCACCAAAGACAGAGCAATCTCTACCCAATCTGCCTAAGTTATTCAAAGACGGTAACAACAAACAAAAGAAAGGATCTCAGTTTGCCAAGTTTATAACAGAGACCCAAGACATGTTTCTAAAACCGACCAAGCTTTCTCGCGACGTGATCCCTAGCAAGTTATGACAAAATGACCTTCTTCGTAGAGTTTGTATCATCTATTTTTGCTTTTGCTGGAGTAGAAACATAAACATTTGTATAGAGATTACTGTGGGTTGCTGTTGTTTCTTGATTCCTTTGCTTGTAACATATATAAACCCTTACCATATGTTCGTAACTATCAATCTTCAAACTGTGTTTCTGATTTCTTTTTCAGATTTTTAGCTCTGTCTCCTCATATTATATGTATGAGCTTGTGATCTATTCCAAGGTGTTGGCTTGAAGCATGTTCTTGCATCAGGAAATTTTGGTTCACGGTCATGCAACATTGCTGCGACTGTAACAACCGTATGCGTAACGATGATGATGAGACTCCTACAATATTCCATGATGTGATAATAACTAAACGACTATCATGATGATATGTGTTTTCCGATTCATTTCTCTATTGGTTGCTTGGACTTTGAAATACACTTCATTTTTGTTAATTTATCTCGGATTCTATGCAAATGCACACCTTACACGTACGTGACGTACTAGATACGTCATGCATTTATGTATTCATTTAACCTATGCTTAATAATCAAGATATTGAAGCATTTCATATGATGATATCATAAATACGATTAAAAAAAATTCTAATAGTTATAATGCCAAGTTGAAATTCCCCAAATCCCGAAAATCAAACCCTGCTTTAACCTTTAGAAAGTTGATATTTTGCCAGGATGTGCAATAGATTCTTTTACATGTAACTTGGTTTATCCACCAGACTAAGCCATGATTGAAATAATGTTGTGGTATACATTTTTTCTTTTGGAAAACGGGAGCATGTCATTGTCTCCAAGTAGGATAACATGACTTAGTCAGTTAATGTCGTTTCCAAAAGAGGAAAGTTGAATTCCATTTAGTGAGTTTGTTCCGTTTAGAGAGTTTGTTATTGATGATGACCCAAGGTGTGATGAATTATCAATAAATGTTAGGAATTCATGGTTCTATATGAGAAATTAGATTTGTTGACTCAATGCAATGTAGTTTGTCCAAGTCATTTTGGTTACATTTGTTATATTGATTGTGAGGAAAAGACTTTGCATGGTCTTGTGGATTTGAAGACAGGGGCGGCTTCAAGTAGATGATGTTGCGTGAGGTTAGTTTCCAAACCATGATGTTGATCGATAAATAAAAGCATAATTTCTTTTGTAGTTTATGATTAATCTTAGTTATGATATCGTATGAAATTCTAAGTACTTCAAAAAATTTTGGGGAGAATGTTAAGTACTCTACACTTGTAGCTGACTTGAATTAATGAAAGGGTATGTATGTATAAAGGGAGATATTTCTTTCATAAATCTCCTCATTTTGCTAGTTCAGGGATCATGCCCTCCTTCACAAGGCACAATATTCATGCTCAATCCCTTTTTATGTGTGAAGGTTCTAGGTGAGTGATTAGTGAAGATGCATCAGGGCTGAGAGCAAGAAGTTGTGGAAACAGAAGGTGCTTCAGACAGCCGCACATGAAGCAAGGGACTTGAATCTTCTGCTTTTTTTTTGTCCGGATCAGCTTCCAATGTTCTACGTTAGCAATAGGTCATCATAAAGTATTAAGTCATTGCTCCCTTGTGCGTCTTGTAGCACTTCATACATGTATAATAGTTGAGCTATTGTAGCTCAACTCTGTGTCTTGTATCCTTTCGTATAGCACTTCAAATTGCTACAAAACTTCTAGCATGGTACATATTCAAATACGCCATAGTTTGTATGTTATGAACTAGTTAGATTGATATGATCTTTGTTTCTCAATGGCGAAAATGGAATGGTCGGAAACATGGAGAATCACTTTCTCCACCTGAAAAAATTACAAGATTCATCGACAAAAATGTTAGGAATTAGCTTAGTTAGCTTAATGCGCAACTCGAAAAACAAGAAACATGAGAGAATACTTATGTTCTAGTTTGTTACGAAAACTTAGTCG